TGGTGGCACAGAAATACTTCAACGCTTATCTTACCGAAATAACGATAATGACAAAGTATCAAACCTTGTGCTAAATCTAGGACTCAGAAATCACCCTATTGCAGCCGAACAAAGAAATGGATAGAGTAGAGACTTTTTTCCTGTCGGGAGTACAGATACCTATCCATCGAAACTTGGTATAACTATGTCCTACTACAAAAACAGTGTACCAAGTTTGCTCGAGAGGATAAACTAATGTACAAAGAAACACTGGCTCAAAACTTCATTTCCGGTCCGAAACTGCTTTATAAACGTATCAACTCTACACGGAAGATGAAACGCGTAAGACCAGGATTGAGATCGTCTGAGCATGTTTCAACTACTACGCTAGAAGCAGCAAAATGCCTAAAAACCCAGGTCGATCAGGTGTTTACCTAAACGACAATACGTTACCAATTCCAAGCATCTGGAGAAGCATGACACTTCATCTCCAGCTCAACACAGATTCCGACACAGACGTTCGTGTATCCCAAATCCACTTCTTGTAGATGAGTGGACTAAATCGGTCGACAGAGGCTAGTCATTGGACGTAGTTAACTTGGACTTTTCAGTAAACTACCACAGTCCGCTCCAAAAACTACAATCACGGAGTGAGGGGCTTAGTTCTTGTATGGATCGGGGAGTTTCTGCGACAAAGAACCATGTCTTATTGTGTTTGTGATTCATTATCTGAGTCTTTCGCCGCTGTCGGAGGGGTTCGGCAAGGATCTTCGTCTTTTTCTTGCATTTATAAACGACCTGCCACGTGTTCTTGGACCAAATACACCACTACTCGCGGACAACGCTAAAATCTGAACAATAAAACATCACTTTCCGACTTACACATGAGAATCACGCTACTTTTAGATCTGGTCGAGATTGCATCAGTTAAATTTTCATTGTTTGTCATGCGTTTGCCACGGAATGGTTTATCAGGGTTGACAACTGTTTTCTATGTTATAATGGATCGACACTGGAAACAGCTCTATCTTCGTGCGAGGAAAGCGGCACAGATTTGCTGCCAAGTATATATGCCCATCATGTCTCAGACGTTCGAAATGTTTCAATAGGAGTGGCATGGACCACTTAAAATCTTGCTGACTAGGCAAGCAAGAGTAGGTTGACTGACTATGCAGTTTAGGTAGCTACATCAATTGATGGAAGAATCACGGATGAAGTTTCGGAACGCCCCACGAAAACCACGGTAGAACTTCCTCACTCTTTTTGAAATTACTGAGAAGGCACAAAGAGCCCACAAATTTCGTCAAGCATCAGTTGTGAAGCACTATTATGAATGCGATCTCTGCAGCTCAAATTGGTGAACAAAAAACCAGCCGTTTATGACAAGGTCTTCGAATTCTCTACGGGTAGAACAGAAAAGACTCGAATAATTCAGTGAACGTCCTGCTTTTTCGCCGATATTTGACTCCCCGGAGGATGTCAAACGTAGAAGTATGATGGAGGCTAACACTTCGGGAACGACTGAGATCAAACCTGACCCGCAGTGGTTTTCGCAATCGTCGTGAGATCCTTTCTTGAAAATGGGAACAATCGGTGAATCGCCCCAAGATGAAGGAATGCGCTCTTGCGTTCAAATGTTGTGCACTGAGGTAATGTAAAAGTTTACAAGATTATCACTCTATCCTGAAAAGAGAGGGAAGGAACCCATTCGATCCCGCTGCCTTTAAACGCTTCTAAAATTGGATGCAGGATCGTGCTTCTGCCGGAGGATTGCACGTCACTGCCCACGAAGCTTCACTTGCAGATCAAGTAACCTGGCAAGTGCCAGAAAAGCTTTGCCTGCCGGTCAAGCTGTTGTTCCTTATCGTGAATAGTTTGTCCACTTTTACCGCAGACTGTTCCACTAACTGTAGTTTGCCTGCCTTCCGTATTGCGTATCCGTCAGAACAGTCTTAGATTATTCCTTGATGCAGCTGCTACTCCCATTGCAGTAACTACCGTTGCCCACCGGGTCTCACGGTCTTTCTTGAAGCTTTTCGTGAGTTGACCTGCAGACACCAACTAACCCGGTTCTGATACGGGCAGGTCGGAATCTGACGCTTTTTCTCCATCAGTGCTACTGACTCATGAGATATACAATGCCTCTAACGGGATTGAGGCTCAGACCCACAAGCAACATTCGCTGTGGAATGCATGGTCCGCTTACTCTGATCCCATTGCTCATCCAAATCACGCTGAAACGCGCTTAGCTCATGCACGAACTCTGAATCACAGCGTGCACGAACTGTTGGAATGAGTAGGTGGTGATCAGCTATCCGAGCTTGCTAGTTTTGTCACCGGTCACCGAGTGAACTGTATCGAAAGTAATGCGTGATCACACTCAATGCACGTGGTCCAACAGCACCTGTAGTTTTGCACTGAGCCACACTAACGGTAGTTTACTTGATATGTGGTCAATTTGAGTTAGCGTACCAGTTGAACTGAAACGCCACGTTGCTGTCCGTCGAGAGCTGTATCGGAAGCTGGTACTGGATGGGAACAGATGGTGATCTGCGCAGAACTGAAGGAGCGTTCTCCGTTATTGGTTTGTTGGCAGAAAGATGAAGAACTAAAAAAGGTTAGGATATCTGAGCAGTAACCCTCTTATCATTACCCACCCTGTTCGGTGCAATGGCCAGTGTGATTATAATTATCCTGCGCGACGACTATGTATGTGCATGCAGTGGGGTTTCGTGGACGGGTACTGTCAGGGTATCCAGCCTCTGAGCAGAACGATTAGGATTCTCTTTCGAAGCCTTTACTTCTAGCAAAAATCTGATCCTTAGGTAGCGGTTTAAGTGAAATAGAGGACCTCTTAGTTCGATCGATTACCATCTCAAAGACCGAGACGCCAACTCCAGTTCAATCGCCAACTTAGAGGACCAGGAGATGAACTTTATCTGATCTTACAGGCGTAATATCTCGTAGTTTGATAAAAGCTATCCTGTGTAGCTCGTTGGGTCATAGCGATGCACAAGCCATCGAACCAAGTCAAGATGCAGTCTCTTCGTGATTGCTACTAGTTAATAGATATTTTCTACTCGCAAATTTTTTACACACATTTCGTGAACAGCAGACGAGGCGAACCCCATAGACTTGCTGTTTAGCCATGGAAACCGGTAACCTAAGCTGCAGCTATTGGAGTGACGACCCACATGAGGCCTCATTAGTTTAGGCGTGGTATGGAACCGGAAGACGACGAAGCTGCTTATCACCAAATGCGAGGCCTCAATTATAAAACAAGACGGATCGAAAGGTGCCACCATATACACAACCTGTCAACTTCAGTGAAACGTTGCGTCTACGCCAAAGGTACTTAAATACTGTACACGTCGATCCAGCTTTGGAAATGCATGAGGTTACCTCCTTGGTCGCGATACCATTATTACATGAGTAGGAGAAGCAAACTACTTTAACTAATTCCTGATCATGTGATTTCGAAGGAGCACGATAAAGAAAGATCATCGTTATACCAACACTGCTGTATCATATAATTATATTATATTTCACACACGTCTGACGCCAGAGTATGCCAAGCAAATCACGGTACATTAATCTTTATGAAAAAGAAAAAGGCTCCATGAGTTGCATGTGGCCGGATTACTGCCAGGTTGCCCAGGTCAATGTAGGTGAATTTTTTTGAGGAATCCACAACCAGAGCCTTTGGCTAGCCAAAGGCTGACCTGCAAGGCAGCGGGGCGGTGTAAAAACCGCAATCCATTACGGGCCGGTGTCCAGTTCATCGGATCATACGCTATTTGGACGGGGTCAAACGTTCAACGTGTCCAACACTCCTTGATGATCAATTGGGCTGATGACCACTGCCACAGTCGGAAAAATGTGTGGTTCGTACGCCTCTTCTTGATTGGTTTGGAATCAGGATTTTTGGCCTACTCCCTTAGGTGAACTGCCGATGATCCATCAACCCGGTTATTGTCCCGGATGTCGGCTTTTTGCCCTCTCACTTTGGTGGGAAAACACCTCCACGGGAAGGCAGTGAAGGGGGCTTCATCAGCACAGGCCATTCGAGACGCTTGGTCGTAAGGGGGCATTGCGCGAGGTGCTGCGGAAGGGTGACCGCCTACAACCCTAGACACCCACCCCGACCACAATGAGGTTTTTGGCTGTCTACACCGCATTGTAAGCGTCTGATGGGGATAACCGGACAAGCAATACTCAGTTTGGGCGCATAGTTTCGCGTAATTGCGATCACACAGAGCAAGTAGGCGACTTCCATAGATTACGTAGGCGGAAGCACGCGTAGTACACATCACTAAGTATACCGTTCGTTTACCAAAGGTGGTGTTCGGGCAAAAGTGAAAATATGAAACGAGAGTATGAAAACCCGTACCAGCAGGTTCAGTCTTATCGGTTGCGCTAGGTCTCCTGATTGCGGACCCTGTATCGTAAACAGTGGCGCTCTTGCATCTACTCAATTTTCTACGTTGGTCTACTCAGTATTGTGTTTCACACTTTTCTGCCAAACAAATCATGGTACAATAATCGTTATAAAAAGAAAAACGTTCCATGATTGGTTTGTGGTCTACTTAGGTTTACTTCTCTAGCTCTCTACTTCAACACTGGCACTGCTTCCAACATTCTAATCTCTCTAAACTCCGTCACTGAAATGGGTAGTCAATCGACAAGAAATAAAACCGCCGTGTGAAATGGTATGATTAATGTTTGCACAAATTCAAACTAAACTGAGTGATCGGATGACCTAACTGAGTAGCGGATATTTGTAGTGAGAAAATTCCCTTTCTCACATCATGGTAGAGTATGTAAATGAATCACAGCGATGCATTCGGTGCTAATCTAACCCCCCAACCCCTACAAGGCTTTAACCTGATATGTGGTTTTGAACTAGACTTCAGTTACGACATAGTTTATCGTTAGAGTGTTAGGTGTCGTTAATACGATTGTGGACATATTGTAAATTGCTAGCAATAAGCCAACAAATAAAAGTTGATACTTAATAATATTTAGCCTACCTGGCCAGAGAAGGACATTCCGGCAGAAACACTATTTGGATCTCTGGTTTGTTGAACTTCGTTAGTTACACCTTGTGGTGGTTGATAATCTATCCACAGACGAAGACGACGTTCTTTAGCAGAGCGCTCGGCAGCTTTGTAGGCCTCAGAAGCCCCAGGGACACTGACAAGATTGAGGTTCCAGTCGATGCACCGAGCCAAACCTTCTCGCAGCAGCACTTCAGCAATGTTACCGTTAGGATGGAGAACGCTTCCGATAAAATTTTGATTGTTGATAGATTCCAGCAATACCATTACATCCCGCTGTAACAAGCGTGATTCCACAAAAAACTGCGCATCAAGCCCAAATGGTTCAGCGACCTTGAGAAAATATTAAAATAATCGAAAGTAAGTTACTTGTTTGCCTTCTTCATAACGCACCGTTGGTGCTTTGATTCCGGAGAGTGATATCATGATATTGTAGTAAACTGAACCCTCGTCCAGAGTATCAGGTATCAAAGTAACCTGCATAGTGCTTCCGTCTCTGACATACTCTACAACTCCGTGCAGCCGCTTTCCTTTGTATTTATCTACGAGACTGCGTGGTTCATCTACAGACCAAACAACCTCGCGAACGGCATTCACAGGATTAGAAGACCAACGACCTTTTCCAGTGGATTTAGCAGACTCTTCAGCAGCCATCAGTTGCTGACAAACGGGGTTCTTTTCCGCAGCCACCGCATTAAGCTTTCGGAGTTCGGCGAGCCCTTCTTCGAGCAACATCACAGCAATGTTTTCACCATTAGTCGATTTGCCTGGAACAATGAATTATATCATACTTGAACTTACCAAGAAATACACTGCCATATTTCCGACCCGATGGTAGTTCTGTTTCAACCGTATAACACACCTCCTTCCCGATAAGCTTAGCTCGCACAAACTCCCGAGCTTGCCAGGCGAATGGATCCTCTGGTCCCGCATTTGGATTGTTGGGTGTGGGTCTGCGAGCAACACGACCACAGCTGATATTCGAAAGAACAATGGTTCTTTCGGGGGGCGGGCCATCAATAGGTCTATCACGGATAACAATTGTATCGCCCGAAAGTACCTTAAAGAAAACACAAGTAATGCGTCTTGATGCGTTCAGTTCACTGCTTTTCTGAACTGCATTTCAGTCTAATCTTCATTTAACTTGGCGATTTATAAGTGCGCTAAAACTATCTGGACACTAGGACATGGTTTCTATGCTAGCTTAGAGTGATGTATAAGAAAAGTGAGCTTTGCTATCATGAAGTCCTATGGTTCACTTACAAACAGACAAATCCAAAGATGAGGAACAGCGTGAAACTCAAATGAGTGTTTTTCAGAAAGAATACAGCAATACTTCTTACTTAGTAGTAGCTAGTGGTAATAATTGCAG